GTGTGTGTGTGTGTGTGTGTGTGTGTGTGTGTGTGTGTGTGTGTGTGTGTGTGTGTGTGTGTGTGTGTACGTGTACGGGTATTAACATCTTCATTGGGACAAAAAATTGGTAGTTTATTATACTTGGGCTGCTTGAAGGCATTTTTGAGACTCAAAATGTGGTTTTTGTGTCAGGGTTACAATTAGGTTCTGGTTAGGTTTAGGGTCAGGGTTAGGCATTCATTTTTGATGGTTAGGGTAAGTGGCTATTTTTTTTATATCCTTATGTCCCCACAAGAATATAATGTGTGTGTGTGTGTATGTTGCATAGTGCTGCCATCTTCCCACCCCTAACACACAGGTCCGAGAGAGCGATCTCTTTTCTGGATTTGGAGGCAAAAATCAGGCACAAATGTTTGAATTCTTTTGCAAAGTTAAAAAGAAGAAGAAAATCGGAGCTCTATAATGATGCAGGCCACTCTGTTCCCGTTGCATTGCTCACTGTGATGTGAAGAGTATTTCATCTATTGTTACTCCAGCACCTCGGTACAGCCTTCACATTAAAGTTATGTGATTAGAGCGCCTGACTACCAAAAGGTGCACGGTTCTAATCAATTCACAAAAGGCTGAAACAAAGGAAATTTGTCCAGCTGCTAGCTGTCGTCTTCCCAAACCTCCCCTCCTGCCTTTTAATAAGCATCCCCACTGGCCAACGGCAAGAATACAGATGAAAACACTGTGGTTCATGACAGCTTCCTTCCTAATGTAACAGATTTGTGTTGCTGGATAGTTGTTAAGCACGAAGTACACTTTTACAGCTATTGGGCTAGCAACCAATTAGCAGTAAAAGCAAGACAGCGCACTAGAATCGTCAACTATGATGAATAAGCAGCTTCCTTTACAGATACGATCTACTATGAAGATTGAATCTTTGACACGTTTCAACACGTTTTACCCAGGCAACATGTTTGATGTAATCTCTTCAAAATCAGTCTGGCACATAAAACTGCTACAAAACCACAACATGACCGTTTTACTTAACATACAAACATAAAACATGTGTTTTGTCAGATTTTATTAAATTTTAGTGAGATAGTTTAAATAGGTAGAATTTGTTATGTGTATGTTGTGTTCCTTCTCATTTTCAAATCCTCTAATAAAGGAGTTCCCAAACTCTTGTTCTTATCTTATTATCTTTTAAATAACACATAATCATGCAAAAGAATAATACTAATAAACCTTTCATAGCCTCATGACTCAATACCAGGTTCTAAAATTATTTAAACACACCATCTCACTTATTTAACAACAAATAAGCCGACATGTTGAAGCAGTGTGAGAAAACCAAGGAACACCCAATGATTCATTAGCTTCAAGTTATTATAGCTTGTATAATAACTTGAAGTAATTGTTTTTTGTATGATAATCATATACAACTGTCTTACATCATTGTGTAGGAATTTTGGTCACCTTCTTTACAGTGTTGCTTCAGTTTATTGAGATGTGCAGACATTTATTTATGCACAGCTCTCTTAAAGTCCCACCACAACATTTCAGTAGGCAGTCAGTTCTGTTGTAGATTTGCTGCTAGGCTTGATATGTGCATTACCCAGATTCAACCAAGCTTTAGCTGTAGGACAGATGGCCTTACATTTGACTAAAACACGTTGGTATACAGAGGAGTTTATGGTAAACTCAGGGACTGCATTTTCAAACCAAGTCCAATTAACCACCCCTTCACTACGGTGCTTGACAGTTGGTATGAGGTGTTTGTGCTGATGGGTATAGTTTTTACCAAACATGACACTCCATTATAGTCAAACATTGTCAGTTTGGTGTCATCTGTCTAAATGACATTGTCCTAGAAGTGGTTTGTTCACAAGATTTCCAGAACAATGCAAACCAAAGCTGTGCTGCTGTTTTCTTTTTAGAGAGAAGACACTTTGTTGTGGCAAACCTCCCAAACAAACCATACTTGTTCCATTTTGTATTCTGGTGAACTTTAACATTTTAATAAGCTAACTGAGTCGGAGATGTATCTTGTGGATTTTTTGACAATCTTGAATGTTCCAGACCAGCAAACTGTCAAAACCTCTGCTCTTATGGGGGCGCTCACACTTGCTGATTATCAGTTAATCAAGTGCGTTTGATTAACAGCACATGGCTGCTACTTACCCTTTTAATTCTGATTGAAGCAGTAAGTGTGCACTACATTTTTCAAAGAGTCCTGCCAAACCTGTCCGTCTCACACAACTGTGTAAGCTTTTAACAGAAGGTCTGCTGGGTTGATCCTGTTACTTTGGGACAGAATATAATATAGACAGAATTTGGTCATGTTTCCAGTCTGTGTCTTAAACTATGTAAATCATATTCAAAGCCCCCGCAGGAAGGGACATTTCCCAAAACTATTCCTTTAAAAGCCTGAATAAGGTGTTATTTTGTATTTTTATTATACTGCCAAGCAACTTTGTGTGGACTTTTTGTTTGTTTTGTTGTTGTTTCTTTCAACGAGATGACAAAAGAGCAAAGTGTGTAACAGCAACAGACAAAAAAATGGCACTAATAGCACAAGTAGGGAATTGGCTGTTTCTCCTTAAGAGCACAGCCTGCCAGAGAGGATCATAAACACATATTTTACAGACAGCAGAGGCAGAGGGTACAACAGAAAAAGTAGGTCAGGAAAGGAACATCCACCTGACACTCTAAAATAAGAAAAACATGTTTCACCTGTAGAGGGATGAGAGAGGCCTCTTGGAGCCCATCTTAGGCCTGTACGGTTTGGGCTCTCCAGCCATGTTGATATCTGGGGGGAAAAAATGAGAGTTGAAGTTACAGTGTGATAGAGAAGCAGTTTATAATATAAAGATCATCCACAACATACAGTTGGATCCACATATATTTGGACAATTGCACCAATTTGTGTCATTTTGCCTTTGTACACCATCGCAGACAATAAATTTTCAACTTAGGTTCAAGGGCTTTAACAAAAGAACTGCATTAATAGTTCAAGAGGCAAATGTTCAAAGGCTCAAAGGTAACTGGAAAATTGTTAAAGAATTTTATGTCCAGGTGAACACTTAAATCAAGAACACTCCCGAGGAGGTAGGAGTATCACTGTCAAGGTCTACAATCAATAGAAGCCTTCATGAATAGGAGATGAATGCAGAACAAGGTGCAGAGTACTGGTTAAACTCAACAAGAAGGCCAGATTAGAATTTGCCAGAAAACATCTGAAAAAGCCTTTAGTTCTGGAAAAATATAATTTCTACAAATGAAGGCAAGATAAACTTGAGTGATGGGGCGACACAAGTATGACGGAGAGAAGCAGCTCATGATCCGAAGCATATTATCTGTCAGACATGGTGTTACGGTGTGGGCATGTATGGCTGCCAGGGAAACCGAACTAAAGTGCTGGTTGATGTGACTGCTGGTAGAAGAAGCAAAATGTGCACGGGGCTGTACTCTCTGCTCACATTCAGCCAAATGCAGCCAAACTGCTCAGACAGTGTTTCATAGTGCAACTGGATAATGACCCAAAGCAAGCTGCACCCAAGAAACCCAAGAGTTTCTCAAGAGACAAAAATTGGATATTCTTCAATGACCAAGTCAGTCAGCTGATCCCAGACCGACAGAGCATGCTTTTCAGCTACTGAAGACAAAACTGAAGGCAGAGACCCACAAACGAGCAGCAACTGAAGGTGGCTGCAGTAAAAGCCAAACAGAGCATCTGAAGGGAGAAAACACAGCAGCTGGTGTTTTTATGCAAGTATAAAAAAATAATACTTATATCTAAAATTATTTTATCTTGTCCAACAGTTTTTTAAGCCTCTGAAGTGAGAGACTGTATAAAGACAGCTGCAATTTAAAAAATGTTCAAGACGGTTTTAATTAAAAACAACCAACATGATTTTTTTCTGATTTTTTTTTTTATATCAATGCAAATATTGTAGATATTTTCTCTGATAAAACATAACTTGATTTCCCATGCACTGTAATTTTACCTAAATGTTACACAAAAATTAGTTTTCTGCTTAGACTGGAAATATTCTACATGTGTGAAAAAAAAAATATTTATATTGAAATGAAGGACACAGATGCTTAGATCACAATATTATTTTTTATTTGAATATTTCCATAGACACATTTTAATCCTCTATATTCATATACATGTTATGACAGATGGAAGTAAATCTTCAATGTTTTAAGTGCTTATTTATGATGGTCATTCATGAGTCCAGCTTTTTTTCCCCTGGATGACCATAAACTTTTATTTTTATGAAACCAAAAGACTTCAAAGCAACTCACACCCAAAGCTTTTTAAAGAGTGGCACAAATAAAATTATGTTGCCAAGGAGACAATAGGATAATGGCAAATAAAGGGTAAACACATCTTCATATGTACACTGTAATAATTTTTACAGTTATATTCTTATAAAAGCACTATACCTGCCTGACTAGGAGCTATTTTTTAGCCTGTCCTGCAGAATACCACATCATACGATGTAGCACTGTCTTTATAAAGAGGCTCTCTGGGCATTTTCAAGCTCCTAAGAATTTTTGTTTAAAGGTTTGAACAAATTACAAACTGCATTTTTATGAGATTATCAGTGTGACAGTGTTTTCATTCAGAATTGCCATAATATGGGCCAGGGCTCATGTACTGTAGCAGTGTACATTCATCCTCACTGAACTAGACTTTCAGCAGAAACTGAATTTTTAAATTGTATGATCCTCACCCTCAGATCTCATGCATTAAAAGGAAGTTTATTTAAAATTTCTTAGCTGAATGGTCAAAGTGGGTTTTGAAGATGAAAGATGCTGTGAAAAGTGGGCCAACATAGTTTTAAATTAAAGAGCAGCAGTAAAAGTAAGAGGGTGGTTGCTAGCTAAAGCTAATTATGTCTCGTAGCATTTCTGAGTGCATGACCATATCAATGGGATCAGATAAAAAAGAGAGAGCGAAGGTCAGTTTGTGTTTGTCTTTAAAAACATTTATAACAGTCAGGATGTTGTGGAGTATTCATTGCTACTTTACTGTTCCCATTTCCTTATTAACGCAGTTATTCCATTTTATATGAAGAACAAGAATATGAAGTGTAAACCTGCATTCTTTCTAGTGGCCAGGAGGTGGCGATCCTGAGGAAATGAAAAACAAATCCAGTTGTGTAGAAGTCTATCCGAAAAAAACCATCTAAGTCATGTTATTTATGATCTCCTTAAATGTTTTTCTGATTAATGTTTAGTGTCTACCTTTAACTTTAAGACTTCTGTAATACAGCAGAATGAATATTTTTGTAAATTATGTAAATTATGGCCCCATTTGGAGTAAAATAGACGATAAACAAAGCCATGCTTTGGGGCAGGCCTGCATTATAACTAGAGAGCTGCTGCCATATGAGCATTTGGCATTCTTAATTTGTAGGTCAGATTAAAATTCCTCAATTTAAGGTTTCCAAAAACAGCTGATGATGTCATAATAGCTACGTCCACCCTTTATATACAGTCTATATTTGGAAAAGAGCCACAAATATTATCCCAAATGTTCTTATAGTTTAATTAGTTAATAGTCGATCAATGAAAATTCATCTTTTAAGACTTACAGTGGGGCAAAAAAGTATTTAGTCAGCCACCGATTGTGCAAGTTCCCCCACTTAAAATGATGACAGAGGTCAGTAATTTGCACCAGAGGTACAC